TGACTCACCATAATGATGTACTTGTACCCAATTAAACAGGATCACTCATATCTAATAATTTGAGCCTAAGAACCTCACACAAGGCAGAAAGCCAAATTGATTTTATAACTACACAATGCAGACCAACAGACGTTAAAACTGTCTAATATAGGCTTATGCTACGCACAAATCAAAAGATCATCTCTAACTCAGTTATCAGAAACTGCATTATGTTTGTATAGATAGATAGAAATACATTATTTATCCCCAAAGGGAAATTATAGATTATATATATATATATATATATATATATATCAGGTATGCAAAAGTTCAATAACTTTACTACTAATGTGCAATGGTAAATATTTCAACGAGCAGATATAGCAAATCAGCCAACTTAAACTAAACATTGTAAACATCAAAGCAACAACAGAACTTACACAGAGGAGTGAGATAATGAGAGACAGAGTGCCAGACTACAACAACCCGGTTCAACAGTGACAGATATAGCAGCCACTGTAAACATAAGTAATATATACTTTAAATTGCCAGCAATAGCCTACAGAAAAAGTAGGGGGTGTTGCAGCTCACTCCCTGCCTATGGTCACTTAAACTGTAGATTTAAGAATCAACTTTCAAGGATCGTGTCAATGGCAAGCGAACCCCCGAAACCTTTTACAGGAAGGATGCCTGTGAGCTCCGAGAGTCGCTATAGCGTTCCATTAGTGTTCTTAACTCTACAAAATGTGTAATGTGACCTTGTCTATGTGCTTGTTTCATGTGCAGCCCTCCTCTCAACTTCCAAAAATGCACATTCATTCCCCAATAACACAGCCATTACCAACCAAAGTCATCATCACAATTCAGTGCAATTCAATGTAAAAACAAATAATAATAAAAATAATAATAATCTTTGATGTAGTTAAAGTACTTTTGCCATACCGCTGTAGCTCAGCTTGCTACAGTTCAGCTTGCCCAACACCGCCACTGATTATCAGTGATAAATATACAACAGCTGTCCTGTACAGTCTCACTACAATGAACCAGAAAAGAGACAAAACTCAGACAATTAAACACAAATGACCAATAACAAATGAAACTTGCGATATGGACACCACGGCAGGTGCAGAACTCTGATCAAATAACCGTCACTGAAACAGCAGAATAAAACATTAGCAAAGCACCAACACAGCAGCTGCAGACACACACGCGAGCACACACACACTACAGTAAAGAGCGTACACAGCGCTATGTTGCTAGGCAACCTTATTGTACTCACCTGTGAGCCTCGTGCACTAGTGATGGGAATTCCGTCTCCTTTTAGAGAACCGGTTCCTTTGGCTCAGCTCACTACCTGTCGGCCACGTGCTGGCGGGGAGGTGCGTTAATTTAATGCATTAAAAAATGTTCTCCCAGTAATACTAATACATAATATATATTATTTATATATATTATATATATATATATATTATATATTATTTCTGAATAATGTATTTGGAATTTATTTAGTACATCCCTAATGTTTGGTTTTGGCTACTATAACACTTGGTTCTAACAGTTACTAAAGTAATTATTAAAGCAGTTGGTATTTTTTATAAAAATGTACTTTTTGTCATGATGCCAAAAATCTTTCACTATATCCCGACAGTAGAACATGAGACAGATAATCTGTGAAACAATCAGGTTCCTCTGGCTCCTCCTAGTGCTCCTAATGGCATTTACAAGAATTCACCGGGCCTGAACGACAACAACCAATCAGATCACACCATCACACTTTGGGCAGGCTTAAAGATAGTTCATTGTTGCGTCTCATTCCCAGCATCGATATTTGATGACCTGGGAATGAGACTCAACAATCAATTGTCTTGGCTCTGGTTGTTTTTATTCGGGCCCGGTGGATTCTTGTAAATGCCATTAGGAGCACTAGGAGGAGCCAGAGGAACCTAATTTGTTCACAGATTATCTGTCTCATGTACTACTGTCAGGATACAGTGAAAGTTTCAGCAAATATAACACAAGTTATTTTTATATATAATACCTACTGCAGCTTTAAAACAGATTTTCCACAGTGGGTGTATTGCTACTGTCAGTTGCCTATATTAACATCATTTTGAGGAGACAGGGTAGACATATCTCAACAACAAATGAATAGACTGGTATGTCATTTGTTGACTCCTTGGATGACTCCTTGGAATTTAAATGACCTTTCCTTAAAATCTAGATCTAATCAGATTTCCTGAGACATAGAATTTAATGTCAAGGATGACATGAAATTTGCTGACTAAATTGTTGGTTCCAATATGATTGAGTCCACGACCTTTCCTTTAGCCTCACCAGGACTACATTTATACTTTTAGCTCCTATGTCAAAACACTGTATTTGTGCTGCTAGATGGGCTTCTTTTTTCTAAACTGAGTATGAACAAAGAACATTAGAACCATGGAGTATGTGAAACAAAAAAAATGTTTCTTTGAGCTAAATGCTAACAACATGAAATTTCACTGCAATCTACCCAACAATTGTGGTGATATTTTACTCAAAACTAAGAAATATGGTGGTAGATTGAATGAATCAAATTACATAGCAATCCATCTAATATTCCACAAAATAATGTGGCCAATTGACACTGCTACAAACTAAAAAGGATTCCTGTGCTTCCTTTTTAATACCACTGATGGTGAGGATTTTAGAAGAGAAGATTTCAACTATGCACAACACTGATGGTATCACAATGTTGACGTCAGCAGCAATGTCAAGCAACCACACAGAGAAATATTTATCATAGTGGAGGCTGAGATTGATACTGTATTTCTCCATGCATCAAAAGCTCAACCTCACAGCCTCAGGCTTTGGTCCAGACCACCACCAACTGTGCAGAGACCAATCAATTAGGTCAATCTTCTTGCAACTGGTGACAAAAAGAGTTCTGTAAAAGTAATGAAATACTTATGAATGGATTAACTGGACTGGCAATTGAGCTTAAACATTACTGAGTGATAAAAAAAACCCTATGGCAACTATAACCATATGCATGAGCATCCAGAGGAGCAGGTATTGATTTTTGGTTCTCTTTTTTCATTGTTTTCCCAGACTGTAAAAGCAATGTATTCGCTGTTGGGCCTTGATAGAGACATTTAAAAGTTCCATGGCTATGTGAAATATTTATAACTGAAAGCATCGTGAGTGCAGCAAAACAAATGGGAAACTTTAAAAAAAGAAACATAGGCGGGAAAAAAAAGAAAAAGACATTTCTTAAGCTTGAGATAGGTCACCCAACCAAGACCACCTCTGGCTAGTATACTCTTCCTTACCAGCAAGCAGAGTGCCTTTTCACACACAGCTGACCCTGGATTTTTACTGCAATCACACAATATCCAGAGTTCAGAGGCTGAGAATAGCAAGGTACACAGACAAGTTTTAAAACAGAAAAAAGAAAAATATCTCATAATGTCAAAACCGAGGAAGGTACTCTCACAAATTGAGTACAGGGTTAGAGCATACCTACGGCTTGTTGACTTTAGTCTGAACTATGGTTAAAAAGTTTACTTGTGTGAACTCAAGTAGCTCACTTGTTGGGTAGAATTTTACCAAGGCAGTGAAAAGTTTAGTCACTCTGCAAATCTTTAACTTTACTAAAGAATGATAAACATTACTGCATCTTTGTATACTCATAAAACGTTTCTGATTTTAACTATGCTAGCAGCATGCCTGTAGGGATGTCAGCGTCAGTCTGTCGGTCAGTCCACCACTTTGGTCCAGACTGAAATATCTCAAGAAGGATTGGATGGATTGGCATGAAATTTGGTGACAATGAATTTGCTGATGGTTATTTTCACAGGACCATCTGGGAAGTCATCATTGGAAACTGTTTGGAAAAGGGCAGGCACTTTTGGAAAATACTTGGCATGTGGTAGGATGAACTGTCAGTCTATCACCACCTATATGGGCAAACTTCAACCAATCAGAACCTCTGATTTTGTAACCCCATGGAACCAGCAACGCTGTGTCACTTTTTATCTTGATCAGGCACTGATTGAGATACTCTAGATCCAAAAATGCTTGTTGAAAATTCTAAGCAGATATGCCAGTTTCACTGTTTTGTGCTCAACTGTTTCCCTTCAACGCTCCATCAGTTTCATTGATCTTAAGTGTAATAGAACAATGCAGCCTCAAACATGTTGTTAATCACACAGCCTCTGATGGCCTGACATTGTGCATTTTTTAGCTTTGATTTTAGGGACACTGGCCTTTAATATTAGGCAAAGACAAATATTTTATCTTTCCAATGGCGTCACCATATTCAGTCTCTGGTGTATGAAGCAACTTTCAGCTGCAGAGAGCAGATGTTTGCATGAATTAAATATCTGTTGAGGATGAAGTAGAGCGGTGGTGTACAGACTGAAAAGCCATTTTTTTCTGTCACAGCTTAAAAAATGCAATAAAAAGCACAAAACCTGAAATACTGCACATATCATGGACATCCTTTACATTATTTATCTCACAGTAAAGCATTGCTCCAGGTCACGAGCATCACTGCCAGCGACAGCTCACAGCGGAAACCTCCAGATTCTTGTTACATGTATCATCTATACAGCGAATGAATGAGAATGGGAAATTGATTTTGCATGCAGCTACAGTATGCAATTAACATTCATGGTGGAGGAAGAGAAACAGATTCAGAGCGTTATGGCAGACCTCCTGCTGTGGTTGTACATAATTGATGTACCAGAACCCTTAAAATACACTGTGTTCAGGCTCGAAGACACACTGGTGTCATTTAGAGAACTGCAGTTAGCGGTTGTTGGTAATGTAGTGGACAAACCACAAAGAGCTCAGTCCAAGGTCAGGACTTCTGAGGAATAAAAAAATCAATAGGTTTGTCTTGTTTCTGGATAGGTGCCACTGTGGACAACTCTGCTGTATGTGCACCTCGGAAAAGTCTGTTGGCAGCAGTATAGAGAAAAAGATCTGTTCATATGTATATTTAACATGAATAAATAGCAAAAAAACACCACAAGATCTTAAGATACAACATTTTATTATTGTCAGTCTTAAATATGAGCACACACTTTTCATCAAGAAAATACATATGAACCAACAATCCTTTACAATGCAGGGAAAGGAATAGCATGATGTCCCCCTCCACTTGGGAACAATCCGATCTGAAGAGTCCTGTGAACTTGTAGCCAGACAAAGGGCAGAATTTCATTCATGTGAATCATCCAAAATAAATCCCAACAGTACATGAGACTACTTCATGCGTCTGCTATGATAATCCCCTGGTGGCTGAGACAAAGGTCTGATTTCTCATGTCAAACCAAAGTTCACATTCAAAAATGATCTCTTCTACACTCCAATGCAAATCACACAAATGTCACAAAACACCTAAAATTAATAGTGGGAGGTACAAAACAAGCTCAGTCATTTTTCTTAAATGGTATCAAATTTTCATCTGAAGACTGCTCTCTTGCCTTGCACATATGGAGACCAAGAAATACACCCATAGTGGTTCTTTCCCCTCAGCCCGGGCCCATGTTTGCTTGGGCTGAGTGAGAGAATGATTCCTGCAATCCTTGTGCAGTCTTCAAACAGACAATGGAATTGGTCATATCAACATAAATATGCAGCGCTACTGCCAAAATATAAGCCTTCATGGGCTGTGGTTCAGAATTGGCTGACTGGAGTCAGAAACAGGAAAAAAGTTATGTGTATTCAGGCCTTCTCAGTGCAGTTTCCTAGCTGAACTTTAGGGGTGGATCAGAAATATTTTACTAGTGTATTTCTAAGATCCTCTCCCCGGGTTGCTAGGTTTTATCATTATAAGTTTGGCTTGAATGGGACTTGCAGCGTGTCTTGCATATCCTTTTTAAAAGTCATGCTTGGTGGGAGTTTGGAGCATTTGCATTTGCTCTAATAAGACAGCACAGAGGCGGCCTTTGTTAATGCCATGCAGAAAGAAACTGCAGTACGACTGCCTACTGTTCATCTGAGAGATGGTGAATTATTTTCAATTATGGAAGTTGTTTATTTCCAATTGAAATAGGTATGTCAATTCCTGCTGTGTTCAGTTTGCCTTACCATGATGCATGTTATATGCAGCTGCTGGGAGTGTACAGCATGGGGAGAAAACAATCAATGTTCAAATTTGAACTTTATTTCACTCCTGAAGAGACTGGTTGCATAAACAGGATGTTACTGTATTTAGCAAATAGCTGCAATCATCACACTGGGTGAGACTTATATCCCCTTTAGTTTTACAATGGAGGATGGGTCCAGTTAACAGCAGCGCAATATGAGGGCCAACTGAGAGCTTATTAAAGTTTTCTCAACTAAATGAGCCATAACATGGCAAATAGCTGTGTTGTGCAACACAACATCACACTGCCTCACTAAATGTAATGTGATTGTGTTTATTTAACTGCTCTGCAAGCCAGCTTGTCTAACCTTGAGGCTACCAGTGCCCATACTGAATCGAGAACACTGGTGCTAAGTACTACAAAAAGGCCTCAGGTCAGAAAACACTTCAAATTAAGCCTTTAAAGAAGCAGTCTGCATAGGTCCACATCCCCCACATGCCTTCTCTTGTTACACGTTAGGAGCAGCAGGGATTTAAGAACAAGGAAATGAAAATGATACTTTTCTGTTCGCGGCACGTGGCTCAGACCAAGGCCAGAACTTTAGGAGTATGATCTAGCGGGATTTCCTGCAGCGATCTGACAGGTGCTGACTGTTTTACACTCCACTGAAAAGGCAGAATACCTCATCCTCAGATCACAGATCAGACTGCTCTCTGCCGCTGTGTTGCTTCTTCAGCTTGGTGCTTCACAACATTTTGTCTCATGGCATCAGTTAATAAACAACATGCTCGTTTGATATTGACAATTAGCAGGGTTCCTCTAAATGATGCATCTAAAGTCGGGATATGAATGTGCACAGTTTTGGTTTGAAGTCTGTGATTCTCTGTGCAGCCTCGACTCTGAATCGCTGCCATAGTGACCATATGGCATTGCTATTATTAGGTGGATTATAAGATGAAGTCAGCTATACAACCACTTCCTTACCTCTGTGGAAAAAAAAACATAAATTTTCATTTCATCTAGAGATACATGGTATATTTTGACAGCAGCCCTGCTGGTTTGTACAGGTCTGTCTATATTCTAAAGGTAAGTGCTTACATGGATTTGTCCTCAGTAATAGTGTGCTTAGCTTGAGAAATTTTAATATATTTGACATAACTTTAAAAAAATCACAATCATTAAAGGACAAAGCAATAAACTGCAAATATTCAGCTGTCTGCACTGTCCTATCAGAAAACTGTAGCGTGCTGTGATATGGTACAGCAGCATGGCGTGTCAGGGTTTCTGTGAATGAGCCTCATTACAGTGCATACAAACACATCCATGACCAGACCTAAATATTACTTGTGGTAATTGCCGTTAAATAATTGGGCAAATTGCTGAACAACTGCTCAGAAGTAGTAAAAATAAAATAAATGGCCCAGATTTTACAATGTGTGCTTGGCCGTTCTACAAAAGAAATATATAATAAACTGTCTTACCTCACTAGAATCTGTGGTGTGTGTGTGTGTGTTTGTGTGTGAGAGAAAGAGAAGAAGTCAAGTAAGTGTTTTTGATATTTCCAGACAAACTATTAAAGCTGCAGTAGGTAACATTTATAGAAATAACTTTTTGTCATATTTGCTGAAACTTTCACTATATCCTGACAGTAGACCATGAGACAGATAATCTATGAAACAATCAGGTTCCTCTGGCTCCTCCTAGTGCTCCTAATGGCATTTACAAGAATCCACCGGGCCTGAATGAAAACAACCAATCAGAGCCGAGAAAGATATAAAGACACTTTGGGTTGGGTTTCGGTGGATTCTTGTAAATGCCATTAGGAGCACAAGGAGGAGCCAGAGGAACCTGATTGTTTAACAGATTATCTGTCTCATGTACTACTGTCAGGATATAGTGAAAGTTTGGCAAAAAATATTCTTATAGAAATTAGCTACTGCAGCTTTAAGCACATCACATTAGACCTCTTTACGAACTTTCAAGTGAAGTCAAAGCAATGAGGCTAGTTCGTACATATCATACAACAGTTTCATGCAGACCCTTCTGAAGGGGTCCCAGCACAGACCTCCTTGGGAGGTGATCTGACTAAACTTCATCTCAAATGTAGTTATTCTTGTGGCACAATGACTGGGTAAAACAGACGTGAGATCAGTGGTGCCATCCTTCAAGCCAGGAAGGAATAATTAGCATGTAATTTCTAAACACCACTGTGCTGGAGATGAGTAATAGTCTGCAGTGTCTATCTGTCTCAGTCTTTCTCTCTCTCTCTCTCTCTCTCTCTCTCTGTTTCATCTGTAAAAACAAACTGTGATTAGCCTGTCAGATTCCGCTGATGATTACCCTGATCAATTTCAGTAATGGCCCTATCTGTTTCATGCTGTTTTGATTTAGATATTGGCTCTTTTTTCACATTGAGGAGCTTAAACCTTCTTATCCCCAGGAGCCAAAAGGGGGCTGAGTTTGAAGAAAAAATGAGTGGATGTGTGTGGATGATGGACCAGGCCAGGGAAAAAAGATCTCTTAACACAAGAAAAGAGGGACTTGAACAGAACATCAACGGTTCTGTCACTCGTTTCCTTTTGGGCCTGCTCAGTGTTGACTGAGCTCACATTAATTTTAAAATAACCATACATGACAGCACAGTCAATCAGTGCCCCACCACTACACAGAAACACACTAATTTGTTTATATTCACTGTTCCTGTTTGATGTTCTGTTAATGGAATTCTACAAATCCTTTAGTACTGCCCACAAGAAAACCAACAGTCAATAGATGCTTGTGTTTGCACGTCCACAAACGCAAATAGTGTTGCATTCTGCAAGAGAGGCATGATGCCTAAAAACTCCCTTCCACATTACAGAACCAGTGGCCTAACACCGAATCTCGCTTTTTGTCACTGTCACATACTGTTTTTCACTGCTGGGGGGAACCTGAGTGAGGTCTGGCAGTTGGTGTGAATAATTTGCCAACACAACAGACGTGAAAGGAGATAAATTACTGACTTTAATTCTTGCTGCCGTTTTGTGAGAGGTTTCTGATTGTTGCATAAATTCTTCACGCTCACAACCAAATAAGGTAACGGAGGTCTGCCGTCTGTTCTCCACCTCTCAAAACGCCAGTGGCACTCATGTGCGCTCATATTTCTCCATTATAAAACTCATTGATATGATTTTCTTAATTTTGCACATATCCTGCCTTTTCTGATAATTCAAGCTATATAGACAAGATAAAAGAAACAGTTGAAGCCTTTTTGCTCGGACCTGTGATCAGTCTTGGTTATTGCAATTGACCCTTTTTTGCTCGGTGCTCCAGTAACAGTTAGACAAGCCTCCGTCAGAACCTCTGACCTGTACGTAAAAGAGAAAATCTATGTTGAAAAGACATCCAAGTTTTGAAGAGGTTAAAAGATAAAAGCGATATATTGTAGACTCTCTCTCTCTCTCTCTCTCTCTCTCTCTCTCTCTCTCTATATATATATATATATATATATATTCAAAATGTGGTTGTCTTTTGGACATTGATGAGCCTAGCACATAGCATATCTAAGTAGCTAAGTAGAAGCGAAGGAGAAAGTTGACCGGGGTTCTGACCTAGGCTTGCTGTTATTGGAGCACAGAAAAAATAAAGGGGTGGGACTTAGGAAGGGTCAATTGGCTCGCATACTAAACGTTAAGATTGCAATTCTTTTGTTTGCAATAAGAGCTTTTCACAGCCATAAACCACATACTGTATTTTTGTTTAGGTATATGATTTTAGAATTCCTTCCAAATTACCCCCATGTTTAACCCATATTAAACTCTTTTTTGTGAAAAGACAATATCATGGAACTGTCAATGTGTTTTGTTTGGTGTTCATACTAGAAAACGGAAATTCTATGAAGTATGGTCCTGTATAAACTGCTAAGGTCTTTGGGTTACTGGTGTCTAAATACATGCAAAAAGTGAAATACTTTCTATGATGTTATGATTTTACTGAGTGGTCTCTAACCTGCCAGTGCTGGTTTGGAACATGAACAGGAACATTTTTCTCAAATAACTATGTCGTGTGGAAATGGCATAATGCTCAAACAAGTAGCAACAGCATGAATACATTGTCATTACTTAAGTCAGACATCGACTCCACACAAGTGGAGTACACTTTCCCTCCATGTTTAACTACTTAATTATAACATAATAATTCTTGACACCATTTTTGTGTACAACTGTACTGGTAAACAAAAAAAAGACAACAGAGACATAAAACATGATATTGTTCTAAATAATTACAACTTAATATGTTCCCTTCTCAAAAATATTTAAAACTAAACATAATTGACAAAATAAAATTAAAAGATTAGCATAATACAACTGCAAGTATATCACTATAATGCTGAGAACAAAAATACTTGAAGGTCGATAACAAATCCACTTTCAACAACCAGACTGAATGATAATTATTATACATTAAAATATGATAATACCAGGCTTTCAGCCTAAGGGTAACCTAAATTCCTTCTGCTTCACTGTCTCGGTTTGACTTTGAGGTATTTAACATTCACCTCTCATACTTGCTGTAAATTTGCCTTTTCCTGGAGTTGAGATGAATATGCAATGTGGTTAAAAATTATGACAAATCAATTTGAATAAGAGACACCACATTTAAAAAATCATTTTTTTCCGAGACATACATAGAAAGAGACAATCAGAATAATATAATTTAGAGAGAAAAATATCCAACATAATTCAATTAAAATGTGAAACATTTGTTACATCCTTGAAATCTAAAAAAACCCAACAGAAACGTTTGTTACGTAATTTAGTGGGTCAACATCATTACATAGCAGGATACCTCATGCACTCACTGTGCATCAGTTTATGGTTCCGGTTGAGAAAAAAAAGAACACACACTCACTCACACACACACACACACACACACACACACTCACACACACACAAAATATTTGTGTTCAAATCCATTCCTCTTCAAAATCTGAGCAGGAACGGCAGAAACACTATGAAGAGGAGACAGGTGTGTGAGTGCACTCCCATCGCGCCGCCGCTGCCATCCTGAACTGCTCTCGGTCCTGACAGGGGGGAAAAGAAGGGGGAAAAAAACACCATAGTAAGTTTCACCTCTGAAGATTGTTTTTTCCTTTGTGTTGGCACTACTGGAGGTCAGTTAATAAATGTACTTCCTATCTGTTGCTGATAACAATTCAGTGGCTTAATCCCCTTCTGGCATGACACTAAATGTGTGACTTTTACAGTGCAAACTTGTAGTTTTGATTGTATGAAAACACAAGGTGAGTACTTCACTCTGTATTTTCTACATGCAAACCAGTGTACATAATTAATTAATTAGTGATATCTGCTCATTGTTTACAATTACTGGGGATTAGGAGATATGGATTATACACTTTTATTAGTCACATAGTGTTTTTTTAGCAGAATATTTTTGCAACTTTTCATAATTTCCTTCTTGCTCTGTAGCTGTGATGCCAACGTGTCTCCAGCTACACAGTTCCTACTTTCATAGATCATTTGAATTTATCAAGTGGCACTATGACTAGAGCTGGGTGATAAATCGATTAAATCTTTTCATTTGAATTTATGTTTTAAAATGATGCAAATAAGGACTGAATTGTAAAATTGAAAATTAATCTACGGCTATTATAATATATTACAGCTGCTTAGGACTCTAAAACAAGCCCCAATCCACTCGAGTCACTCACCTACACAGAATGTGTAGAATCATTTTCCCATAGTATCCCATCTTAGAAAAAGGGGCCATAGTGATTACAGGTGTGGTGGCATTTCACATTGGCAAAATGAGTTTGTTTTTACTGAAATAAAAAGTAATTGATGTGGTGCTCTCAGCCCTGACTGTGACTTATAAAAGCTGTTATTGAATCTGTGGATGAAGTTACCCTGTCTCCTGGGCAGATTTAAATATGACTAATTTACAACAGCAAAAACATTTTGAGAGAAACATAATGACTCCTGGATTTTTTAATCAACATTCTGTAAATAGGAAACATTTTTATTGAACATATCTGCCAAATTGCAAAATGTTCAAACGGAATGTATCTGCAAAACTCAATTCACTTTAAAGACCAGACAGACTGGTGGAATTTAATAATGTGTGTTGATGTTAATGAATGTTGAAAATGTTCACTGGCAATATATTCCATTTGTTTTCTGACAATATCGGTATATGTTCATTGCAACTTAAACATGTTTTTTATGGTTGTGTTTAGGCACTCAGTTATGGTTAGGGAAAGATTGTGGTCTATAATAGTACTAGTTAAATACTGAAAAAGTCAACAGTGACTTTAACCACAAGATACAACGAGCTAAAACCAAAACTGTGACGTCCTCCCTAACAATAAACAAAGTGCTTTCGTTGCCTAAACCTTACCATACGCCTAGCCCTGTCTCTGGTTTCAAAATCCTGAACATTATACTCCTACCATCTACTCCCAACAAAAATGAGGCACTTCTATCACTGAAAAAAACATTGCCAGTAAACATAATCCAGGGGGCAATTATGTTTCCCCACAAAGTGTAATTGATAGAACAAAGCAGTTGTTTCATGTAACTTCTAAGAGACAGTGTTAATAAGGACATCCAGCTAACTAGCACAGCAAAAGTCTAACAACAACTTAAAACAATGCCATCTGATGCCGATGCCAAACATAAGACAGTGGCATGGAGTACCTCAGGGTTCTATCCTGGTGCCTTCTTTGTTTTCAATCTATGCTTCTAAAATATATTGATGACATCACTATTAGCTTGCATTATTTAGCAAATGGAGCCAAATGCATTTATATCTGTTAAAATAGTTCATTTCAGATACTTAAGAGGTTTTGTTTTGTTTTTTGATTTATTCTTGATAAAGTAAAGACACTTCCAGTACAATATTGATATATGAAAGCAAGAAACCAGGGCAAGAAACAAATTAACTACTAAGTACACATTAAATTACACTAATACATACAGTAAAAGCTTCCATTAGGGAGGTAGGTTGACTACATTTAGTGCTGCAGATAACACCTGCTTTTGAGTGTGATGATCAAAATGACATGGTCTGCAGTATGAAATGCTACACTAAGGTTTAAAGGGATTAAAGCAGAACATTGCTCAGCATCTATTGCTTAAAGAAGGTCATTCTATCTTCAACAAGGGCATTCTTAGTACTGAGAACTGCTTTGAAAAAAAAAACAGGATTTTGGTAAAATTATGGTTTGACTTCCAGGTTTGCTTAGGTCAGTTGTAACTGTCAGAGATTTAATACAAATTCTTCACACAAATGTGTCCAGTAGAAATACAATATATAATATATATAATACATTTATATAGTGTAAAATGTGTGGAGTACATACAGTGAGATAGCACACGTGTTGGAGGTATATTTTTCAGCATTTCAGCATGCATTTTGAGAAATAATCTGGGTGATGTGGGTAGAATCAATCTTTCTAGTTTCATTTATCTAATAAAAATGGTTCACCTGATTCTTATTTATCAAGCAACAACCTCTGCACATTCAGATGCATAATGGAGACACGTGCTTTCTATTATTTACCTTAGTTTTAACTAAAGTCTCTGTAACTTGTAATATAATGTCAGCTTTACTCGCCAGTACATGCAATGCACCTGTAGTATTCTAGTATTACGAAGTGTTACAATGTTTGGACAGCTTTTAGGAGCGCTGTATGAAATTCCCAGGAAGCTAACGCCATAATACAAACTCAAATACATCACATTTTCATCATGCTCTTTTCAGGGATGAGGCAAGTTCTATCTAAATAGATGCATTGTTTGAGGATTGAGGACAAATTTTAACTTTGAAGCTTGTAACACAATGACTACTCATTTCCTTTGGATTTTCATGAGTTCACCAGAGTTTCCTTTGGGGCATCTATCCAATTACTCTGCCACAGTGGATTATCCCTAATCCTGCATATGGCTAATTAGAATAATGACGTTCACCCTTAGTCAAAATCAAAGCTATTAATACAATTGTGTTAATGGAGTGGGTTTGCTTACAAGATGCTGCAACCACCAGTCAAAGGACGCATTAAATGACAGAATGGATGAGGTGTTTATCTCTGCGCTATCGCTAACACTCCTGTGTTTGCTTTTTATCATTATTTGCAGATACAAGACTTGTGAGGTTCTGCTGCTGTCTGTGTTTGCTTTCACCATTTCCACGTGTAGGATGTACAGTTGAAATACAATACCTAGAGGTACAAACAATCACACAAGCACAAATGATGATAATGAAAGATGATGAATACTTACAGTGGAAAAAAACAGCATGCAAAAAATCAAAGTGAAGCCATGTCACACATAGAGAGACAGTTAGGTTTGCAGAGGAGAAAGATGAAACACGGTTAACGGAACAGGCAGCAATGACCATTTTCACAAAGATTTACATGACATTTGTGTGGTGGTTTGCATTGCCATCCCTCGTCTTCAAAGATGATGCCCACCACACAACAGCTTTAACATGTCATGTTCATGAAGAGAACAAAGAGTCATTAAAATGTTTACAATGCAATTTTGACATGATCAAAGAGCCCAGAAGTGATTTGTCTCTTCTTGTCAAATGCTGACACCGCAGCCTAACTTCCAGTTTGTGAAAATGGCAATGTTCGTCATGTGCCAGCATGCAGTTAATACTTTCGATCCATGACAGTTAAAGTGCATGCTCGTGCAGAATACTAACCTTGCAATAGCGTTGAGCTAGTGGGTTCAATTACCACTACACCAGGGGAACAAAATGGAACAGAGCAACATATCGGAAACAGAATAGCAACACATCATTGACACACACTTGTGAAAAACATGAAAAGTAGGCTGCTAAATTGACTTTTACAGTCTGACTGAACATTTACGTACTTGAATGTTCAAACTGATAATAATGCCAACAGCCATTCATCAAAGTACAGGTTGTGTAAAAAGTCAGTTTCAAAGCTGAAACACTGCAGTATTTTAACTCTGACAACCACTAAGTGCTGATAAAGTAATAATCCGCAAAATTTTTTATTGATACCAGGGTTTCCCGCAGGAAATGTGTAATGTGTCTGCGGGAAACCCTGGATACGTTTGGTGAAAGTTTTTGTCTTTAAGCAAGCCCTCGTCAAATACGGCAGCTTGGTCAGTGGCCATACGCTTCAAACTATGACACTGTAGGTGCTCCTTCCTTAAAATCCAAGTATGGAGGAGGTTGGGATGGATGGATGGTCAAACAAAGGCAGGGTTTTTACCCTGGAGGATGCTGTTGGTGTCCTGTGTCTATGCTGACTTCAGCCTAATTGAAGTCTAACGCTACATTACATAACATACTCATTTTAACCCAAACCATGATCTTTTCCTAAACCTATCCAAGTAGTTTATATACCTAAACCTAACCAAACTGCGACTATTTTAAATGTGATATGTTTCCCAGAAAGATTTATTTTGAAAGTCTAACCAGGTGTTGCATATTTAAATAGAGGGATACATACAGGCTAGTTTGAAGCACTGGGCCACTGACCAAGCGGTCATATTTGACAAGTTGGTTGTGAGAACGTGTTGCCCAGGGCCAATGCCAGTTTGTGAGATTGTGTAGTGGAGGCAGTTCGAATTGCAGGTAATGTGACTCCTACTGGCCCAAAGAGGCCCCTTTCTGACATGGACTATGCAACATTGCTAGCTTTAAGAATCTATTAAAGTGATGCCGTTTGTCATTCAGACAAGTATCTTTTGCGTTAATGTTCCATGCAACTTCATTCAGACATGACAGGACGTATACAGAAGTATACACAATGCTTGTGTGTTTTCTGTTCTCTGACATACTGTATCACTGGTTCAATCTAAAATTGCTTATTGCTTAATTAATGACCAGAATGAGTGCAACGGATGCTTGCCACTTCCTCTCACAGTGAATCTCCTACTAAATTTTACATTTTATAATTTATTAGAGAATTAGGGAATTTGCTGTCTTTTTGTGAAGTATACTAGTGCCAGCCATAGAATGACTAGACATTAAGTTGGGACTCCTGTACTTGCTGTAGAAGTCTGATAAGAGAAGAATCTCAACAATGTAACACTGGTCACAGTGTTTTCTGGTTTATTTAGGCAATAAATATATTCCATTTTGGCAATCTAATTTTAGGAAAACTGTCATAGTATAAAGAACACACAACCAAATGCATAAAATCTGAGTTAAAAAAGTTTACTTTATATGATCTACATTTGTATTTATCACAGTCCCTATAACATCCAGCATCATAGCTCTACTTTTTGTGCAATCTGAGTGCTGAAGCTGAAAAGATAGATTACAACACTGCTATCTAGCAGTCAGGGATTTTAACATAACACAAAATGTACCACTGCACGTAACTATTTATGAAGATTCTGAAGTGTTTTTAAGAATTAACAATATCAGAAAACTAAATATTACAAGTGTATCTACCCTACTGCTGAGTTATTAACTTTATTAGACAGAAATGTGGTCTAAATTTGTGGTGCCCTGACTGTAAAGGTTTGAACCAACAACAGACTATGTAACTTCGATCTGAACTGAAATAAATCATTCAAATCAGCAAGTATATGTCTCAAAGGGGCTAAAGACTTTTTTGCCCATGCAATATCCACATTCTCAAAAAAAAGAAAGAAAGAGCTTCACAAATTACTCTTGATATTAGTAGAATTTGTGCCATCAGGTCCAATAAAAATGATCCAGTCACAGTATCCAGTATCCAGGAGCAGTATCGGTAAACTGTTTTTATGTCTCTTACCTATCTGGGGAGCCAGCAGGAAGTCAGCCTGTCAACTTTTGATCAATCAGAATTAACTGGGCCAATCTTGATACACAGTTCTCATAATACAATAGTAGTCTGAACCCAGCGATCTGTGAGCACAGATCTATGTCAGTGTAATCACGTAGGTGTAGAAATCACATGAAATTGTCTTTGTATATTTAATCTATACATGCTGCGGTTGTCTGCATGTGAACTCATTACTTTCCGTGCAATGCAGGGACATTTTTATTTTTAACAATAGTAAAATCAGAGGGAAGCGGAGTGGAGAAAAGTATGAAAAAAGTTTATTATTACGGATTATTACTTTAATTGAAACATACACTAAGCAGATACACTATGGCTGTGTCTTTAGTTTTACTTCCTGTTCTGTACAAAAATAAATAAATGTAACAGATGCCTGTACTCACCATACAGAAGGAAGCTTGTATTTGAGCTCCCAAGCTTGTTGATGGCGACGCATGTGTAGTTGCCGTATTCGCTGTCAGACACATTAAAAAACATCAGCTTCGACAACGAGCCGCTATTCACAATTTCCATGCTATCAAATCCATTAAAGATCCTGCATGGGAGAGAAAAAGAGAAAGAGAGACAGTGAACACTACAGCCGATAATAATAATTATAAATAAATGATAAGGAGCCATTTTCAGTAATGAGTTCCAGTATGATTGGCAGCTGATCAATAATTGTCAATAACTGTAAAAAATAATGGCAGTAAACACACACACACTTCTTCCACTTGCCAACATAAAATGCAAATGTGAAACCCATTACCTTCTGTCATCTTTATACCACTCGAAGTCTGCCTCAGGCACTGCATCGGCCTCACACTCCAGCACTCCTCTTTGGCCCAGAGTCACTCCAACATCTCTGCCCTCTGACACAGTTGGAGCATCTACAAGCAGGCACACACATATGAGTGCCCTGTGATCAGGACTACAAGGCAGTGCAAGTCAAGGATATCAGGGGAGGGGTCACAGCTTTCGCTCCTCTTCAGAAGATTTGGATGCATAGCTGTGATCTACACCATGACCACAAGTGAACAGGAATTAAGAGTTCAATTTATGTACAATATTTCTAACAGTGGTGAATCAGTCAGAAAGGCTAAGATGCTCAGCTTTCTATCAGATCAGTAATAGAGAAGTAGCACATCATAATTGAGGTATTGTATCTCGGTGATGTTCTCCTTCTATGCTTGAACAATTTGTTAAATGATAAATCGATAATCGAAATCGTTGCAGTTTAATTTTAGGTCGATCATTTACTCGATAAATATTATCAGATATAAAACCTGGTTAAACCTCAAAATCACAATGTTTAATAGTAAACTGTTGATCACATCATCGTCCAGAAAGTACATCTGATTCAGTGTGACAACAGTTCCAATAGGACAGAAAATGCAAAAAAACAAAGATGCCAAATTTAATTAAAATAAAAAATTAAAAGTTTTCTCTAGGTCTGTGTGCAGGAATCCATGAACATACATTCTTATAAAGCTGCAACATTTACATTCTAAAACTTAAATCAGCAGACTTCAACATTTTAATGCCCACCACTAATATTTATTAACAGGGCTACAACTCATGAATCTTTTGATTATTTTTGACCAAAATATTGAGTATTGCTCGAAAGTAATTACTATAATGACTATATTAGACTATATTGAGCAATGCCCCATATTTATTTTTTTGTTTTAGAGGTGGAAACAGAAAATCTGCTGTGGAAACTGTTAAGACGTGGCTACACAAGACTAAATTCTAAATGTTTGAATTCACATATTTTTCTTGTCTTAATTGGTAGACAAAGTTGACTTTCTCTTAACTGAAGTTATTTTGAATCTATAGCTACCAGTCATTTGATAGAACCGAACTTTTTGCAGTCCAGAATGTGCGTGTATCAAAAATGATGAAGACCTGAAGTCCCTGACCTATTGTTCTGGAGGCGTTCTCCTGGAAAATAAAAAAGCAACCCCTATTGACTAAATACTGAAAACAGTATGTTAAGAAAAACTCATACTTTGACTGGTGTGAAACATTTAAATGGATTTGTAATTTGCTCAGCTAGGACTTTAAGTGCTGTAAAGGGAATTACAACTCCACTGTGGACATTAATGGGTTAACAAAGACTCAAATCTGAGGAGCTGGAACCAGACAATATTCGGCACTTGTGCTTGATAAATGGTTTAAATAATTAGCAACAAAACTGATGCACCTTTTCCTGCTGAAAGGCTAATTGATAAATCGAATTGATCGTTTCAGCACTGTTCCTTCAAATACATATTTTCTTTCAATTCTTCAGCCAAAGCAGTGGACTCACAGTTGACAGTGACATCAATGGTCTGCACATCTGTGTCGATATCGTTGACGGCCGTGCATTCGTACGTCCCCGCTCTCTGTCTGGAGATGGATGGGATTTCCAGGTACTCGTCGTCTGATGCCAGGTCCCCTATGAAAGGTGACACACGCACAAAGTGGGAGGAAGTGGAGATGGTCATTCCGAGTTAATGCGGCAAGTAAGCAGCTGTGATCATTACACTGGTGCATGGAGGGAGGAGGAAGGTGTTGATATTGCTAATTATATTTTTTTAATTAACCTTTTAGTGGACTTTCTTTTTAAGGACATAGACCAACAAAAATGATACATATGTGTCAACTGCACAAAACATGTACTTTATAGAAAGAAAAATGAAAATAAGGAAAATAATGAATAAATACACAACAAGGGGAGGATCCATCTCTAAAAAAATCAACAAAATCTACATATTTACATACAAGGAAACATACATGCCATTATATTTGTATATATATATATATATATACAAATATATAGTCGCCTACGCAATTGGAAGATATTCCCTTACTGGGCACACCAAGTTCTCAGTTTAAATGTAATTCTCTGAATATATTGTAGACTAAGTTGATCCACTTATTTAGGGTTGGTATGTCTTTCTAAAGCCATGTTGTGGTCCAAGCCTTTTTGCATGCCACTAACAATTAACAATTCATCTGCCTATTTGAATTTGTTCTTGAAGTGTAGTAGATGAACGTTTATTCTGCTATTTCATTTCATTCAAATCTATTTTGGTGTTAACAAAACAAATTCAGTTCTAACTCCATTACAGAAGTCAAAGATCTGGGTTGGCCAGCAGCAGCAGGAGTGGCGACGGATCCTATTAATTCTTGTAGCCCCCGATCTGGTATGACAGGCAAAATTCACACAGCTACATGTGTGTCATAACTAACACAAGTAATATCATGACATGTGCCCAATTCTGTCTGTGTCTCTGATGCTCCTCTGTTGTTTCTTCCAATACTTACAAAGATGGGTTCTTGAGCTTGCTGACATTTTTCTACAACACTCAGTGGTGATTAGTGCTTTGTTCAGAGCCCCCACTCAATATCACTTGTCTGTCAGAACGTTCATATTCTGCTCTTTTGTGTGCGGCTCAAGCCTGCAAGCTTACAGGACTAGTGCTGCGATATGAAAATATGAGCAGGGAAAATGCCAGCCCCGCTGCTTTTTCTTGTATCAATTTGACACGCTTGACAGAGACACTTAACACAGCACTCAACGTAAAGAACAAAAGACGTAATTGACTTCAAGCTTCCTCCCAAGATGTTGGTAGGTGACAGTAATAAATTGCACATGGATTCACGTCGCTGGGTTTGGACACATTGCTGAATTGCACCTGGGACGGCGAGAAGTCCTCGCTGACACACCCATCACCTGACGAGGGGTATCAGGTGTGCGGGGTTCCGCTCTGTTCCCTTCTGCTTGGCTTTCTACATTTCGCCGATAGAGACCGCAGTGCCAGTTAAAGCTGAGCAGCGAGCCTCTGAGGGGAGTTAATCAAGACGAGGCTGTCAACTGACGCACATTCTCAAAGTCCTCGCATCAAGCATTAGTTTTATGGCAGGTCGCTCCCCATTAGCAGTGTAAGCAGCATGGAATCAATGTTTCTCTATAGGTCATGACCTCAAATACATACATAAAAACATAAAAAAACAAGTTAATAATAGTTGTAAACAATGCTAAAAGATACCTCACACCTGCTTACTATTAATAATAAGGCTGTGGATATACGTGGGAGCTTGTATTACTGTAAAATAATTAGGTCATTGCTGATGTTCAAAGCCTTGTTTTATAGTACAGCAGGGTTTCCTGTGCGGTATGACCAAAGGTTATGGTGGTTTCACAGTATATCTTTGGGCCTTTATATAGGTTTATAGTAGCTTATTCTACTGTCAGGAGAACACAGAATAAAACATATAATAAACATAAATAAATCATCTGTTAATGGGAAAATTTAATTATTATGAATTATTTGGGTAGTTAAATTACAGCTGATGACTTCTTGGATCCATAGTAACAATAATAATAAAAAAATGGTCTTTGGTTGTTTCCTCAGTGCAACTTGATGAGATAGCGTTTCCTCACTTTGTGTCTTAATTTAGTGTTTTATTGTTCACAGAAACACTTGTTACTGTGTGTGTGTGTGTGTGTGTGTGTGTGTGTGTGTGTGTGTGTGTGTGTGTGTGTGTGTGTGTGTGTGGTTTGATTTAATGAGTGAAGCACTTTGTGTTACATTTTGCTTGTATGAAAAATGCTATACAAATAAAGTCTGATTAATTGATGGATTGATTGATGGTCTATGAAAGTACGTTGAAGTTTTTGATGATGATGATGATTACTCGAGAAAATAAATGAACCTTTGAAGAGTCAGAACTGTTGTTGTGTTAACAATAGTTAATAGTTGTCAGTTAGATTTGGTGAGAAAAGAGCTATGGAATATTAAATCATCAATCTTTGCTCACTACGTCTTAAGCTTTCTGACCCTGAGGTGTGTAAAAAACTGCAGGTTAAAATGTGTAATATCAGTATTGATAAGAAAACAAATTAGCGTGAAAACTGCGATGTAGTAATAATAGTATAAACACTAAACACTTACATAAAATACTCAAAGTTTCTATTGCACAACAAACAAAAAAGAGTTGCAGCAGTTGTTTCAACTATGCAACAGTATTTAAAAACATCTACAGCATATACAGCTGGTTTTACCAGTTCATCTGGTAACACGAGGAGATTTGGTTTGTTAGAAATCCACTCCACTTTGCAGCATATGTAAGTAAATGTGGATATTGACAGTATTTGCAGTTATTGTGTTATCAGCAGCAGCTAGGAATTGCTCTGGGGAAACAGCTGTTTCTCAGCCTGTTGGTCCATGTGGGTGGTTCTGAGCCTGCCTGAGGGGAGGGTGGTAAACAGGCAGTGTATACATATGTATATAGCTAAGGCCATGCATTTAATGAGTGGGGTGGTTATTTAACCTGTCCTCTATTAACTGAATTGATAAAGAGACTAGATGTGTCAGGATTTCTCAGGTCAGGAGGCAATTGAGTTGCGTGTTACCTTCGCAGTAACCAGTGGTGGATAGAGTACTGAAAGTAAGTACTCAAGTAGAAGTACTGTTACATTACTAAGTAATCCTGTGCCTGTGTTTCATTCTCATTTTTCATTGGCCTTGCTTGCAACACCCAATTGCGGCCCAATTGGAACAGCCCAATTTGTTACCAGGGACTCAAAAAAGTACCCAAAAACATGACTTAATTACAGTAACGTGAGTAGTTGTAATTCTTTACTTTTCTTTCTTTACTTCCACCCATGGCAGTAAGCAATGTTGCACTCTTGGAAAAAAGAAAACCCTGTGAGTTTACAAAAGTTGGGAAAGGTAGACAAATGGCTAAATCCACACATTCAGGTGAATGTGAACAAAAAAATAAAAATTTGAAAAATTTGAATGAATTCAAGGCTACACTGTTATCAGACCCCAAGTCTAAATGTAGTACTTTTGACAATTATACATTCAATATACAGAGAACTTTAAAGCAGCTGACATCTCAGCTCAGGAATGTAATGTCATGACCAAAGTCTTTTCAAATCAACTATGTGTCTGTAGTCGGCATAAGTGAAAGATTAATTTATTCATAGTCATTTAATCATCGTTTTAATTATCAGGCTTTCACCCGCCCACCTACTGCACACATCAGTACACTATCTTCATCCAGATTCTTTTGATCAGCAGGTGACCCTGGTGTTTGTCAGAAACCTTAAGAAATTAACTCATTGTCTATGCAAACTAGAGATGGCGGTTTGTTTTCTGAACCCTTCAGTCAATGTTGGTTTCTTTTAACCATGACCTTTCCCGGACCTTAACGTGTTTATTATTGTAACCTAGACGACGAAGATCGCTTAACCTCAGCAACAAAACACCACAATGTTTCCCTGAACCCAACCACGTCTTTTTGTGCCCAAACCCATTTTAGAGGGCATGGACATATTTGGATGTTTCCTTTGGACATCTTGATCATATTATCTCACCATCACCTCATTATGCAGTCATTACACTCCACACTTTTCCCAAATGTATTCAAAAACCACTCAATATGTTTGCTTCTTTCTCTGTGGTTACTCCCAAATCATTAAACCAATCCCATCATTTGCATTTCTTCCTGTGGCCACTCCGTAGTAAATCATGACCTCCCTGCCAAAACATACAGCACCCCCTATCATCATCATGTTATTGTCTGTTAGGATACACAATGCTCCTCCGCCAGCTTCCAAGGCCTCAACTGGCTTAGCATCAGAGGTTACAACCCTTCAAATCCATCATCTCATTTACATAGAATCACTGCAAATGTAAAGTGTCTCAGCCAGTACCAGTTTGTGCCAAATTATCCTGCATTATAAATAAAGCAATAAATCATTGTTATCTTGTTGGTCTGTCCCTTCACGGTTGCACTTCTCTGCCTCTTCACGTGCTGCTGCTGTCAGTTTCACCGCCAGTCACCCAACTGTGCGAGTGAAGCTGTTGAAAACAGCACGCACCATGTGCCAAAGAGCGACGTTTCTCTTTGTGTGAGCTAGAGAGAGAACAAATGTTGTCTCAGCAGAAACAAAGAGTTCACAGGACACTTCAGTACCCACTACACAGCACTACCCAAGCTCTGAAAAATGCACAAAGACCCCTTGTTATAGCGTTCTTCTTTTTTTTTTTTTTTTTTGTTATTTTTTGGGCCTTTTATTGGCTTTATTGGATAGTGACAGCTGTAGATTGACAGAGAAGGTGGCTAGAGAGAGAGGGGATGACATGCAGCAAAGGGCTGCAAGTCGGATTCGAACCCGGGCCGACTGAGCTAACCAGGAGCCCCCTATAGTGTTCTTCTATTTTAATTGGTATGTGTTCACAAAAAACTGCATGTACAAAAGCATGACTACTGATATTTTACAATTTCTTCAAGTTTTCACCTAGAGCAAGCTATGCAGGATCTGTCCGTTGCTGTTTGTAAATGCACCATTCAAAGTTGGCCCTTCCTCCCCGTCTCCACCGAGGTCGAGCTAAATGAGGAAAGGCAGAGACGATAGCAAGAACAAAGCAGTGAATCAGA